ATTTATACATTCTGCTTACTGTTCAATCCATGGATCGACTACAGGGCCTTCTAGGGTCAACGGAGGATTGGGCAGTGGGAATCCTGTTTTTGGCAGCCCCTCGAACCTCACTGTTTTCTTCATCTGCACATCATGAAAGCAATCCTTCAAGACACCAGCGGGGTGCCCACTGCCCTTGTTCCCCTGTTTTTCTCTCTGCTGGGAAAATTTGCTACTAGGAAGAAATCTGAAATTCATTCCTACTATGATTCTTCATAAAAGTGTTATTAGCACTTAAGCACTAAGATACTTTAACCACAGTAATGAAACACTGGTAGTAGAAATTCTGACCTTATCTGGCACTGGAGGGAGGGAATTTGGAAAGGAGTCTGCAGGGGCCTACAATCCACAGTGTGTTCACTGTACTACCTTCCTCAGTGATGAACCTTTAAAGGGGAGAGGAAGAGAAAATGAGAGCAGATACATGAGGTTGAAATCTTACTTGCTGTAAAATAAGTCCCTTGGCTTTTGCAGTCTGGGTGTAATATAAACTGTTAAATGTTAATAGCTATGTTTATAAAACCGTGAGAGGCACTGCTTCTTTTCTAGGAGAAAAAATGGATCTCAGAGGCTTTTTCCAGTTGGACTCCGCAGGCCCCTGTGGGCTGAGCACCTTGCTCTTGGACAGATGCCCCCTGAGTCGCAACTCTGCCGTCATAAGATGTGTTCTATGATCTTGCAAGCCTCTTCAAATGAGCTTTCCCACCCTGATGAACAGCACTGACCAGGAATTAAGAGAATTCTTCTGTTTGTGTTTCTCAGCCTTTGTTTCTTCCTCTAGGAAATAGGACCTCTGGGGGGAGCAGGGGGAGGGGGTTGGTCAAGTGCTAGGTGGTCCCTTGACCCTTTGTTTGGAGCAAGAACCATTTCTCTTCATCCAAAACGATGTGATCCCAATCAGGGAGGCCAGTGAGAAGCCTCCACTGTCACAGAAATTTCCTGGGCCTCAGTATCTCTATAGGAACACCAAGACCCATTTCAGAGTCATCCTTGAGGCCTTCACTTGTCTAAAACCTCAGCCTCTTGAGGCCCAGGCCAAGTGTCCTGTCCCATGTCGTTTCATCCTGTGTTTCACTTCCCGGAGCCTGTGGTTCTTAGAATTGATAATAAATGAATTCCCATTTAATTCTATTCCAATTGTTTCCTCTGTGTTAATTTGAGTTAATTTGACCTCAGTTAATTGGACCACCTCAGTTAACTGGTAGATTGTGAGCTCCGGGGGGAAAGTTCTGGAATCATCTCTTGACATCCCAGGTTTTCAGATGCTATGAATTCAACACAATAATGAAAATAATAAAGGCAATCATGACAACAATATCAATGATTATAATTTAGTGACAGATATTATTTCCCAGGCATTCTGTTGAACTCTTTACGGTCTCTCATTTAACAACCCAATAAGGTAGATACTACAAAGCTCAATTTACAGACGAGGAAACCAAGGTTCAAAGATTAAGTAGCTTGCTGGAGCCCAGCTGTCAATCAGAAGCTGGGATTTTCACCCTTGCAGGCTGGACTCCAAAGCTGTTTGCATTACTGGCTGATGGGTGGGGTCCGAGTGCTTCCCTCCCCCACCAAGTCCGCCATCCTTCTTTGTGGTCGCGGCATGAAAGAGACACCAAAGCGACATGCAGGGCCAAATTTTATTAAGACACACTACACATATCATTTCCTGTTTCATTACTGAAAGTCCCATCATCAAGGATAATCTCGTAGGATTTCTAATCCAATAACACCCATTTCACAAAACAAACCCATTTTCGAGATGGAAGGAGAGTCTTCTCGGTTTTGTTTTGGATAGTCTTCATGCCAATGCCAGACAATAGATAAAAAGGTGTCTAGGGACCTGGAATGAGCAGTCATTCTTCCCTAAATGGCATCCTGGTCAGTCCCCTCCAACTCTCTACCCTCATACTTCTCTCTACCCACCAATAGCCAATAAGCAAAGGGGCCTGGAGACGGGTGAGTGGGGCAGAGGCTGAGCCTACCTCTGAACCTTCACCCTCCTCTTCCTCGAACTCTCACCTACATAGGCCAATGCCACTATAAACAGTGAGGTTCAGTCCCTCTGCCAGGCATCTGGAGGTGAGGGCAGGAAGATACAATTTCCTTTAAGGTTTCCTTTCCTTATTTCAGACTCTCCTCCCCCTCCCCCTCCCCACCCTATTGGCACGCGTGCGCGCGCGCGCGCGCACACACACACACACACACACACACATATGCATTTTAAGAAGTAATCATCTCCCTGTAAGTCTCAGTATCCAATTCTGAGCATCCTTTACCTTCATCCAAAATGGCAACCACCCATTATGGATGGACTGAACAGAGAAACCAGGCCAGTCCCTGGGAAGGCAGGGCTTTTTCACAGTCTGCAGTCCCCACTGCTTTCTGGCAGTCTCATCAGGAGCACCAGGGAGACATAGGAATTTGTGTGCTCTTAAATGAGGCCCCTGCCAAGAGAGCTGGAGATTCCCTTACTGCTTCCATGCCCCTGCTAAGCCCTCCAGGGAGAGAGAGATCTGGGGGCTCCATAGCTGTCATCACACCTCCTCTTGGCACTTAAGTTGGCAGTCAGCAAGGGAAATAAATAGGAGGGAAAAATAGTTTTCCAGTATTTTCTCTCTTTTTTTTTTTTTCATTTTTATCTTCACAGCAGAATTATTTTTTCCCAACGGGAATCTGAGAAGCACAATGCCATCTTTGTTTTAATAAGACCTAGGGAAATTCCACTGGCCTTTGTGGCGGGTGATCTGGTCAGGATCTGAGAGAGGACGACGGCTTCTTGGGCATTCCGGTCGATAAGGTCTTTAGGGGAGCACTGAGTGAACAACCAAGGAAGGGAGGGATGGGATGGTTTCTATCATCAGGTTGAGCTGTAAAAGAGCCACAGGATGACAGGTGGTGGCAGGGATTCCAGCGGGGCCTGTGTACACAGTCGCTCCCTAGGGGAGTGTGCACCCCCATGGGCTAGTTAGTTGTCACCCTGGCAGAAGTAAAGTTTGCAGCATCACCAAGTGGGACATTTGCCAGAGGTACATACCAAAGCACTTGTAAAGTTGAGGTTGCTGGTCAAGTTCCAAGGGCCTCTTTTTAAGTGAGACTGGATAGAGGGAGGGCAGCCAAGGGCAGCCCAAGGCCACCGCATTGTCACTCCAAGGTTTGACCCACAGAGACAACAGATTCAAGAGCGCATCTAGTGTAAGGTCCTTGATTCATGCTCTTTATTGGCTAGGAACGTTGGGCTCTTTCTTGCAGGAAGAAGGGTGATCGGGTCAAGGAAGCCATAGGAACTTGGAGAACCCATCTGGTATGTGGCTGGTATGTAGGGAGCCATCTTATCCTTCTGGCTATCCCTCCCAGGCCAGATTTGCCACAGTTCTCTTTTCTTCCTCTACCCCCTTGACTAAAGAATCTGAAAGTCTTCTAGGTACACTGGTTAGAGGTTGGGGAAGGGACAGTAGCCTGGGTGGGAAGCCATGTCTCTGCCTGCACTTGCAGAGCCCTGGTCCTACCTTCTGGAATAAATGGGCAATGGCCTTGAGACCCAGAGCCCAAAAGGAGCAGAACAGATATGAGAATGAGAGATGGGGTCGGTAGGGACACATCTTCCCTCTCTGAGCCTCTTTTGTTCCCACCTGGTCCTGGTTCCCCCGCACTGGAGGGTCACACTGATAGGTCATCTGACCTGGCCTTGCTGCTGGCCTTGCTGAGACGGCGCTTGTCACTCTGGTAACCATGGGGGATGCGGTGGCCTGGAGAGGCTCCATTGGGTACCTCAGGCTTCTGGGCATAACGGATGTGAATGAAACCCTCCCCAGGAATCTGCTCCTGGCCTTGCACTTGCTCAGTGGCCAGGTTGTCTGTGTTCTGCTGGGAAGCCATCTTGTTACTGAAGGGATTGAAGAATTTCCCCCCAGGGCCATTCTCCAGGCACTGATTGAAGTCAGGGGGTGGTGTGCAGTTCTGGACTATGCCGGCAATCGGACCAGGAAGCTGACACTCAGCCGTGCCCTGCCGAGATTTGGCAAAGCGCTGCCTGATCTTCTTCCAGCCCAGGTGGTAGAGCTCAGCCAGGCTGAGGAAGAGGGACAGTGCGGCCACCGCCAGCATAAAGACGATGAAGACATTCTTCTCTGTGGGCCGGGAGACATAACAGTTGACAGGGTGGGGGCAGGGGCTCCTGCGGCAGACGTGCAGGGTGTCCAGGAAGATCCCGTAGAGGAGGTACTGGCCCACAATGAAGGCCACCTCCATGGTAGTGCGGATCAGGATGCTGCAGACATAGGTGTTGAGCAGAGTGCCCTGGAGGACAATCCTTCCATTCGCTTCTTCCCAGCAGGACAGCTCTGCCTTCTCGGCCACGGGGTACTCGTAAGAGCCAGCACCCCGGACCTCTTTGGCCCTCTCGGCCTCCCGCAGCTTCCGCTTCTCCTGCATGCGCACGGTGTGCATGGCGTGGCCCATGTACACGAGTGACGGCGTGGACACGAAGATGGTCTGCAGCACCCAGTAGCGGATGTGCGAGATGGGGAAGGCTTGGTCGTAGCAGACGTTCTCGCAGCCGGGCTGCTGGGTGTCACACTGGAAGTCCGCCTGCTCGTCCCCCCAGGATGACTCGGCCGCCGTGCCCAGCACCAGCATGCGGAATATGAAGAGGACGGTGAGCCAGACCTTGCCGATCACCGTGGAGTGCTTGTGTACCTCCTCCAGGAACTCTCCCAGGAAGCTCCAGTCACCCATTCCGGCTCAGTGGGGGACAGCCACCAGGACTTCTGCAAATGGGGCAGAGAAAGAGAGAGAAAAAGAGAGGGAGGCTTGCAGAGTCTCGAGGGTCCAGTCATGCTCTGGGATGCCACCGGTCCGTGCCAATGTGTTCTTTAAAAAAGGACAACTCAGGAGTCAAATTCACCTAAAAAGCTCTCGCTCTCTCGCTCTCTCTCTCTCTCTCTCTTTTTTTCCAGGCCAGCAAAAAATAAAAGGAAAGAGAAGATTAAAAATGGTTGTGTTAGCAAGATTCAAGTGTGATTCCCGCACTTGAATGGATCTGGAAATCGACTGAGGAGTGTGTTACGGTGTGGATTTTGTGCTATTACCTCGAGAGAGTCTACTTCAAGAGGTCTGGGGTGGCCCCTGGGATCAGTATTTGCCCCAAGCAGCCCAGGTTGTTCTGAGGCTGGCTGTCCAAGGGCCACGCCTGGAGAAATCCTGGTGAAGCGGAAAACACACAGGACTGGTCCCTGCCATCACGAGGCTGGCCATCTGCCTCACTGAGTCTGCTTCCTTGTCTGCAAAATGGGGATAGACTATAGCTATGTCAGTGTCCTGAGGGTTAAATGAGTTGAGGTATATGACATGTTGGGAATCATAACTCAAATGTTCCATAGGGTTGAACGGCTCTGGGGTGAAAAAGAATTATTCTGGCTCCAGAAGGCAGAACTGGGCGAAGGGGAAGGAGTAGGTGAGGGGGCGGCAAGTCTGGCCTCTTAGGCCTCTTAGGCCTCTTAGGACGAATGCGTCTCTCGTCTTCGGACATGGCCCAGCTGTCTTGGGAGGTGCGAACAAAAACGTGTTGGGTCACACCAGCGAAAAGCACTGCAGATGAGCGCTTGGGTTCGTGCCCACCTGCTATGCCTCAGTGTGGTGCGGCCACTGCAACCATACAGCTCGGCCTATCCTCCCGTGTTCAGAAGGCACCCATGCCCAGACCTGCTCCTCCTCAAATCCAGAATACATGCCCCAAACAAAACCTTCTCTCCTCAGGCCCTTGCCTGCTTCCTCGGCCTCATTTCCTGTCTGTCCCCATGAGTGCCTTTGGTTCCATATCCTAGAAGATTCCCAGATGCCCTCTTCCCAGCCACATGCCCCCTCACCCCTAGCTGAATCCTATTAACCCTTTAGAACTTTAACCCAGTCAGGGCTCCCTCCAAGCTCCCTGATCCTTCAAGCTGAGCCTCTTCGGCTCCTGTGGTGGCCCTGAGGACACTCAGTTCCCTCCTAGCACTTGCCATCTTGTTTTGTGGTCCTCTGCCTGTCTGCGTTCTTCCAGTAGGGGCTCCTTGAGAACAGAGATTGCCTTTTCCTCTGTATCATCATCACCTGTCCCAGAGCCTAGCCCGGAGTGGGTGCTTAGTAAATCTTAGTTGAGTGAATGAAGGAGGGGTGGCAAGCTCTGGTGTTCCCTACCCAGGAGCAAACCAATTCCCTATTCCTTGGCCGCATCCCTGTAGCAGGGTAAAAAGGCCAGATTTCACTTCTCAGTCTCCACTGCAGTGAGATCTGGTCAGCCAGGTATGGGGAGAGTCTAATGTAGAGGGAGTGCTCTAGAAACTGTTTTTCCATTCCCCAGTAAATGGAGGGAACCTCGCTGGAGGTCTCGCCCACCCCCACTACCTCCTGTGTGGACAGGCCTGTGTGAGTCAAGATGTCTGAAGCTGTCCAAAGATTCTCAGAAATGCCAACCAATATCCTGAGGCCTCTGAATCAACCCTTGAATCTCTTACCTCCAGAATTCTTACTTGATGAGTAATAAATGTCCTTATGGCCGAAGTCTCTAAACAATCCTAATCAACAGAGTGATAAGATATTATAATGAGAAAAGAAAAGGAGGGAACCGAACATAAATATTCCCTTCTTGGAAGGACAGAACCTCAGAATCTACTGGCATCTTAGAGATTGTCAAGTTCAAACCTTGACCTTCACATCTTTACTGCCGATGTGCCCCTGGTTCCTATCTGAACATTCTTTATGCATACGAGGGAGGACAGGGTGGGGTGCCATATTTCATGATGCAGGCTCCCTGGACTCCTGAGTTGGGATCTCCTTGACAGAGACCAGCCTCCTGGCCCTGTCTTCTGCCAGGCCTCTGCTGCCCACCCCTGAGAGTCCGCACATGAGTGTAAAGGGCTTTATCTCTGTTCCCCTCCATATCAAAGACCCATCCAGGTCTTGAGGCCTTTCCTCTGGCTTGCGATCAGACATCTCTGCCCTTTCCCTTAGGTGGTGAAGGGTCCCCCCCTCCCTTCGCCTCCAAATGTGGAAAATTGTGGAGCGTTTGCTCAAAAGGAAAACGGCTGATTAGATAAGAGTTTGAATGATCTGTCATCTCTTCTAGGCACGTGCCTAGTGTTCAGCACCTTCAGGGTCGTCCACACACGTGCAGGGACCAGGATGTGCTGAGTGTCTGAGAGAGGGGAGGGAGAGAAAGTGGGGCGGGTGGGGGGAGACATGGGAAAGGAGAGAAGGGGAGAGGAGGAGCAAAAAGAGGGAAAGGACCGGAGGGAGTTGGGAATGGAAAAGGAAAGACCGCGAAGTGGTTAAGAGAAGGCAGTTTGGGGGGTTAGTTAAGTGGAGTTCAAATCCCTAAATACCACTGAGCTTGGAGAAGCTACTGGATCTGTATCTCAACTTCCCATCTGCAAAATGAGGATACTGTTATTTATCTCATAGAGCGTTACGAGGCGATGTATAAAAAGCACTTAGCACAGTGCTTCCCATATAAAAACTAAAGAATAAAAGGCAGACTTTACTAGCAAGGGAAATGGTAAGAAAGAACAAGAATGGAGAAGGAGGGGGAAGGAGAAGAAAGAAGAGATTTGCATTACAAAGAACAGATGGAAGAGCAGAAGGGGAGAAAGTGAAAGGGAAACAGAAATGGAAATAAGAAAGACACAAAAGGAAAACTAGAAACAAATGTCATATCCTTCCAAAATTTGGGGCAAGTTTTCCAAACTGCCCTCAGTCCCTGAAGACTTTCCCCTTGATCTTTTGTGTCGCTCATTCCTTGCATGTCCCCCAGGAGATCTAAAAATAGTCCCGGGCAAAGAATGTGACGCTTTGGTCTGGTCTGCCAAGGGGCTTGACTGCTGCCCCCCTCACTTGCGGTGCAAGGGATCCCACCTGGAAGAAAGGAAGCACGGTGGAATAGGAGAAAGCCGGTTCCATCAGGTAGGCTCCCTCATGGGGAGGGAACAACAGAAACTAGCTGACGAGGTGGAGGGGTGACGCAGACTCCATGTGCCCTGGAGGCCGCAAACAGGTGACGGGACTGAGCATCTGCGACTTCCTGGATGACTTAGGCGAGGTCAGAGAAACTTAAAGCTGCTACCATGTACCAGTTGCTCAGTTTATAATATGAGAGTCCGTTTCCCAGCTACACTGGGTCCTTTTGGGGGGGACTCAGCCAAAGAAATATGTAGCTTAGATAGTCAGTGAGTTCACTGGGTGTACAGCATACAAAATGTTTTGTAGACTATTATCTGTTTCTTGGCAGGAAGTGTGTCAGAAGGGGCAAAGGAAGCTGCCCATGCCATGAATAAATTCTATCAAATACAATGGCAATAATACACCTCACTGCTTTAGCTGTGATCCTCACTGGCTTCCTACTGCTTATGAAGTTCAGACCCTTTAACTTCAACTTGAGATCCTCCACAGCACAGCTACATCCTTTTTTCCCGTTCCGCTCACATACCCAATACTTAGGCTACACAACTCCCCACTCACAAATGGGGAGTATACATGGCCCACACCTTCTCACCTCTCTTTGTCTTAGCTCCTTTCCTCTCTACCTACGAAGTCCTTCCCTTTCATTCATCCATTTAAAATTTTTTTTAACGTTTATTTATTTTTGAGACAGAGAGAGACAGAGCATGAACGGGGGAGGGGCAGAGAGAGAGGGAGACACAGAATCGGAAGCAGGCTCCAGGCTCTGAGCCGGCAGCCCAGAGCCCGACGCGGGGCTCGAACTCACGGACCGCGAGATAGTGACCTGAGCTGAAGTCGGAGGCTTCACCGACTGAGCCACCCAGGCACCCCTCATTCATCCATTTAATAGGAGTGGTTACCAGGTATCATACAAGACCCTTAAGACACAGCAGTTAAAAAGACAAATAAGGAGTCCCTGCTTTTACTGAACTTAACTGCCTTCATATCCCTTAATGAAGGGGAGAGACCAAACACATAATTGCAATAAAGCATGATGTGTGTTAACATTAAGAAAGTTTAGTGTGCTCTGGGAACACCTCGGGGGAGTTGGCTCTGGCTTAGGGAGTTGGGGAGGGCCTCGTTAGGTCAGGACCCTCTGAGGAACCCTGGATAATTGAACTCTACAGCCTTTTGCAACGGATCCAACTGAAATCCCCAAGGCAAAAGAGATGGTCCCCGGAAGCCAGATGAGAACATCCCAACTCTGTAGTTTCTTCACTCCAAAACCTTCAACATCCTCTCTATGCGTGTCATATCCTGGGGCAAAACAAACATTTGGACGAGTCACCAGGGAACTTGCTTGGTAACAGTGACATGGTGCTTAGATAAGAGGGAAAGGGCCAAAGGAAGGCTTTTGTGTATAGTGAGCAGGAATCATTTTATTCCCCTACTTTGTGTATTACGTGGCTACAGACAAAATTCAGGTACCTACATTCCCAGTCCAGTGTTAGCATTGTTGCCTTCCTACACAGCCAGTGTTTTCAAAGAAAACCAAATTAGAACAACCTGGGTTAACATAAGCTCATAGCCAGGACCTTTTCCTATGACCCCACAGATCTAGGTAGAAATGGAGAAGTCTTTCCTCAAATTGATCCCAGCCCTCTTTGATGTCTCCTGAACTCTAAAGACTCTAAATTACTGTTCAGCCTATAGGGTACATTCTTACTTATATGCTGCCTTACACTGATTTTCCAAAATTTTCTATCAGCCACCCCATAAGTACTTTTTTGAGTCCCCTCTATGTGCCTACCACTGTTCTGGGTACTGAAAATTATATCTAAGAGACACCAGACCTGGCACTTACTGGACCCTCAGTGATGTCTGTTGATCCAATAACATCAAGCAAGAGTCCTGCCCTCAAGGACTTAACAGCTTTTCCCTTCAAATGAGTAACAGATTTCTCCAAGTCAAAAGCCCTGTCTTCTACTTTGTATTCTTATTGCACTAGGTTCTCATGTTAGGTAAATGATAAATGCTTTCTTGTTTGTTTATTTTTGGTGTTTTGTTTTGTTTTATTTTGTTGTTTTCTGAGAAGGGGAAGAGCAGAGAGAGGGAGACAGAGGATCCAAAGCTGGCTCCACAGCAGAGAGCCCAATGTGGGTCTTGAACCCACAAACCACGAGACCATGACCTGAACTGAAATCAGACACTTAATCAACGGAGCCACTCAGGTGCCCCCATAATAAATGCTTTCTTAATGATTGAAAAAAAACCAAAAACGTTTCATCTAGCAGTAAGATTACAGAGTGATCAAAAGGAGGCTCAAATCTTCCTTAAGTCCAGCAAGAAAAAATAAAACCCTACACAGTTCAAAACATGCTTCTCCTACCTTCTCTTGTTGACTCCAAGAGTGCGGGACCACGTTTGTTTTTTGTTCACAATTGAATACCTTCAGAACATATAGACCCTCAATTTTTATTGCTGAACAGAGGAATCCTCAGAGCCACTTTGTGGGGTGATGACTGTCGCCTCTGTTGTGCAGAAAAGGAGACATCTACAGAAGGTAAAAGACCTGCTTGAAGAGATGAAGACAAATGGAGACAGAACCTAGACCACTGAGTTTCTGGTCAAGTCTGGTGCACACCAGAACGTTTCCCTCCATCCTCCTTCCAAGGGTAGAGCCCATCGATTCTTATGTCTCCCCCTTCAGTACTTCAAAAGCTTCTTCTCACCCTGGGGCAGTGAGTTATTTGAGACTGGACTACCATTTAGTGATAAGGCCTGGGGGCCAGCTTTTGGGCAAACAAGAAAATATTTGTGATGCTCCCTTGATGTGACCAGCACTGGGTGGGGTGCTGAGGGGATTATGGGAAAGTATAATTCAGTTCACCCTCACAATTCGGGCCCCAAAGATCAGTAAGACTCAATGTTGAAGGAACTTACTGTCTGGTGACGGATACAGACACAACCAAACGTGCAAATACACCAGGCTTCCCAGAAGAGGCAACCCTTGAGTAGGAGTTAAGTGGAGGTGACATTTGTGGAGGTGAGGAGGTGGGAGGCATCCCAGACAAAGGCAACCACAGGAACAAATCTACCAAGTGAAAAGCAGCATGGTTTTAGAGGACAATGAGCAGAGCAGGGGAGGTAGAGTCTAAAGAATAGGTGGGGGCAGGTTATGGAGGGCTTTGGAGGCCATGCCTAGGAGTTTAGAGTAGTTCCCAACCCCTATGATAGACCATGTTTTTCATACATGACTTGCTCCTGTGGGTAGACCCTAATGGGACACAGCCCTCAGATGAGGTGGGGACATAAGGCACGGCACAGTCAATAATCACCCTGCTGTCCTTTAGTAGTGGCTGTAGCATAAACTAGGTAGGCTGCAGGTTACAGGTGCCACCCAGCACCCTGCTGAAACAGCACCCTGTCTCTCCTGCTCAAGAAAGCATATTGCAAGAGAGCAAGAAGCTACCATGGGGATTCCTTGAAAATTCTCTTCCTTCTATTGATTCTAATCCTGTCGTGTGGAGCCACACATAACAGTTGCCTTCTCATTTCTGTGCCCCCACCCCAACCCCAAGTCAGAAGCTAGGCCTCAGACTGAACTGTAAAGTCACTGGGGTTTCAAACACGTAATGAGAATTATGTGCTCTATTGGCTGTGTGTTCTCTC